CTATTTTGTATGAATCTAAAAGATATAAAAATTTGTACAGTTATTTTAACTTAATTATCTTACCAATTGTGTTTCTTAACACATGTAATTAAAAATGAATATTTCATTTATTAAACTCAATCTAGTGTAAAATTAAATTTTAAAGTTATTGCTAATTTCATTTGATTTTAAAAAATAATTATAATTACAGAATCAAAATAATTGTTAGTTTTAAATTTTGTGTAAAATATTGCTCCAATGTACTATTTTACAAATAATTAAATTATTCTTTTACATCCAACTCTCTCTTTCTTTTTATTTTCAAATTTATCTATTAATTATTATTATTATAATATTAATAATAATACACATTAATTTTGGATCTTACATTTTTCTTTTTTGCAATAAGAATAATTAATAATAATAATTATTATATAATTCTAAAATATTATATTGTTATAAGATACAATATATATATATATATATATATATATATATATATATAAAATATTAAATACTTATATTAAACAAAAAAATAAATAAATGAAGTACGTTCATCAGTTTTAAATGCTTTTAATTTTATTGTTGATCTAAAATATAAATTTATAAATTTATTTTGTCCTTATTTAAATAATTTAATCTTAAAATATATATTTGATTTATTGGTTTCATATGTATAGTTTGTTATTCAGATCCAAAATTTACATGACTTATAATTTTAATTTAATTGTTTTATTTATTTCAGTTAAAATTGCATGTGTTGTTGCTTCTGTTGCTGCTTCCAAAGTTGTAAAATTTAGTATAGCTTTTAAAAAATTTCACAAAAAAGAAAAACATGATATATGAGTTCACAATTTAATTTTAAAACAGTTTTGTAATACATGTTAAAGGATGATAGGGTGACAAATGTGTAATATCAAGTGTAACGAAAATTTCTTTTATACTAGTTTACTTTGAGTTTATATCCATTCTTCTTAACAAGGATTATATTGTAATTAATATATTACAATGAATAGCGTTATTGTTACTTATTCATAGTTTTTTCGGAATATTTTTTAATCTCTCCTAAAATAAACATCATAAATATTATTTGACTTACATTAAAAAAAAATTAATATAACTTTTAAATATTATAGAATGGGACAAATTGACCCTGTTAGAGCTAGTTTAGTCAAATATAATATGACAAAAGATGAATTTTTTAAAAATAAAATAAAATAATCATAAAATTCTTTTTAAATTCTTTTATTAAATAATTATTTGAGGTAAATATTAACTAAAATAATCATTAAGATTTATGTTGATTTAGCTAATACTAACTTTATTTAATTATAATATTTATATTTATTTAAATTACCTTTGGTTAAGTATATCTAAATAATAAAAAAAAATTAAAAAATATTAAAAATAAACAAGGTTAATATGAACTTTAAATTTAGTTTTTATATTTTATTTGGAGATTTTAAATATTATAAAAAAAAGTACAAAATCAAAAAAGTTAGTGTGAAGATAGGGAATACTAGCCTTCCTTATTTTCAATATTTTATTTACTTAGCACATTAATTTAGTGGAAGTCAACTATAAAAAAAATAAAATAAATAAGATTCGAATGGGTCAAATAAATAGTAACCTTATTCATTTTTAATATTTATATTCGTTTAATTTAGTGTTGGCCATTCTAAATTTGTATGTATTCTTCATATTAAATATAGACCACAAATTAATTTTAGTATAATGGTTTAGATTTAAAGATTATAGATGTTTTCATTTATAATTTTTTTCTCTCACTTTCTATATAAATCTCATAAGAATTTTCTTCGTTTATAGGCATAAATCTCCTTCTACCCTTATCTTTTGCATTTACACATCTTCTTCTTTTACAATCTTAAATCTTCTCCCACTCTCTTATTTATCCTTTTTACAAATTCACAAATCTCCTCACACTCATATCTTTTATTCACACTCACACTACATTCATCTCTTTCATTTAAACTCATCTTTTTCATCCACACATATCTTTCATCAACATTTTTTTCCTCGTCTCCTTCCTCCACATTCTTCTCTTCATCTCTTTTCATTCGTATTTATTTCATTTATATTAATTTCTTTCATCCACATTTACCATCATCTTCTTCATCCACTATAATGTTCTACTTAATTACTTTTTTTGGTTATATTATTTGAAAATGAAAGTACAATCATTAATTGCTTTAATTAAAAATATAATTTAAATATTAGTAATGACTAATTAAATATGATATTCAAAAGTCTATACTAACAAACTAATATTTATAGTTTTAACATCATACAAACCAAAGCCAATACTAATAACTATTTATTGTCTAATTTTATTTGTTTGCATCCACGACACTAAATATATTTTTTCTCATAGTATTATAACTTTCATGAGTATTTTATATCCATCCCTCCAAAGTAAGTGTTTGACATACAAAAGTTTCAACTCTTAAAAAAATAATATAGATTTTATAAGATACTAGTACAGCAAAGAGAGCGATTATTTTGGACAATTGAGAATGATTTTCAAATTAAGGTATATTAAGACGAGTTAAAAAAGGTGGGTTTTGGACATTAGTTAAGAACCGAAACAAAAAAGTGGAGGGATTTTGCCTCGGTTCAAAATAGCCCGAAGCATTAAACTAAAAGAAAACTGGGCTTTTAACAGCGGTTGAGATTGGAACCAGGGCCATAGACCCTTTTCTGCCTTGATTTTTACCATAATTGTTGCCTAAAGTCTATGGTTTTTTTAGGCATAATTCCATTGTCGGTCCTTATTTTCGTCAACTTTGTTCAATGTGGGACTCATGTTTTTCGAATGTTCAATGTAGTTCTTAATTTCATAATTTATGTTCAATTTGGTCCTTTTTGCTGACGACGTTTAAATCGTTAACGACAAAATGTCCACAGATCAGTGAATTACATGGCAGTTATTGGCTGACGTGGCTAGGACCAGAGTTGACTGAGGATGGTCGCGCCAATGAGGGCTTGACATGTGACAACCCTTTCTTCACCCAAAAATTATGGTTTCAGATTTGCATATGCAAATTGGAGAAAAGCTTGCTCCAGTGTTGTCACGCAAGAATAGGGTTTCTCCTTCACGCGGATATGGTGAATTTCGTGATAGTTGATTTGCTTCTAGGTTTTTCTCCTACAGGTGAATGAAGAAGGTACGATGGAGAAGCTTGCGGAGAGGCGTTAGTGCGACGATTGAAGATGATTGCGTGATTCGGCTTTGCGTTTCTGTGATTTGGGTTGTGCTCGCGAGAGGTTGGTGATGATGTTGTGACTCTTCACCGTTGTGGCGCGAATCACCCTTCTGGTTTGAAGGAGATTTCTAGTTCTCTAGGTTTTGATCTTCTGTGTTTTAGGTTGATGATGGTTGGTGGAGAATGAAGAAGCTACACGACGACGTTACTCAAAGGCGCGAAGAACTTGTGATTCGGTTTCGCGATGCTTGTGGCGGAGCGTTTGGAATAACGGCGCGACCAGTGCGTGAAATGTTCGCGAAAGGTTTCTGGTTAAGGTTTCAAAATGTCTGATGATGGAGGTGTGAAAATGGTGGCTGACTATTAGCATGGTGGCTAGGGTTAGGTGGTGGCTAGGGTTTCTGTGTAGGGGGAAATTAGTGTTTTTGGAGGTAAGAGATGATGATGACGTGTCAAGGGTGATGTGTCCATGTCAACCAATAACTATCATGTAATTCACTGATTAGTGTTGTGGACATATTGTCGTTAACTATTTAAACGTTTTAGCCAAAAGGACAAAATTGAACAAAAATTATGATATAAGGGACTACATTGAACATTCGAAAAAAATGAGTCGCACATCGAACAAAGTTGACGAAAATATGGACCAACAATGATATTAAGCCTTTTTTTTTCTAATAATGATTCTGTTTTTGTAACATTCCTTATCATAAAAATAGACCTGCATATAAAAATAATGTATCCACAACACAAAAATACAGTCCAAAATATTATTTTCAATGAAAAACATAATTATAAATCATCTTAATGTACAAATTATTATGACTATAAATTAACTCAATGATAATATGGTAATGTACAACTTATTATATCCTAATAACTACGTACTATTATATAGTTGTATTGCATGTTTTGTAAGGGCTTTTGTATGTATAATGAATGGACTTCTCAGGAATTGGAGTATAAGTCTTAAATCTCCACACAAGACATATGATTTCAATTAGTGTATATGAATTCCAAACGATAGAGAAAAACAAATTCATTAAATCTATGTATTATTGTTTCTCATCCACTTGTAATATGGGTACAAATAATTTTCGTCTCCAATACATTACACAGTAACTGCACTCATATGATCATTACGCTATAATATATCATCATAATTATAAATAGTTAAGGAAAATCGTTAGAATAAAACAATTATAAGAAAGTATGGACTAAAATACCAAACCTTGAGGGTCAACCATGCAAGCTTTTTGGACATAGCAGGTGATAACAACATCATATGTTCTGCAATTGAACTATGAAAAAAAACGTCTTTAAGATATAACAAAGAAAACTCAAATATTGAGGTTCTTACCAAACTACTAAATGTTTGGGAGGTGACTTGTGCAATTAGAAAAACCACACAACAACATTATTTGATAGGAAAACCACAAGTAGCTGCCAATGGGCCTTGAAATTGATAATAATTTATTTTTTATATATTGAAATCATATATGGAACTTTGAAGTTAACAAATTTCACTTACCCAGCTATATAAGGGACAAAATATAGTTCCTTCCCCCTTGCACGTAGTTGGTGACGTATGTTTGAATGTCATCAAATTTATTGCCTTCATGAGTGAGTTGAGGGTCATGAACCTATAGACATCATTGAACCCCATATTGTCACTTACACCAAACATATATTTGAAATCAAAAATTGATTTGATATAAGTAACTTGATAGATAAATTTTATATAAATAATTGCTCATAAATAATTGCTCATAAACTTGATAGATACATCATCTATAACTAAAAGAGGGTAATATTAAAATCTTCTTTCCTCGACCCAAGCTTCAAGAAATCTTGCCTATGCAAGTATAGTGGGATCTCAGAGTCTCTTTCAAATATAGTAGAATCCCATGGAACCATCATCGACTCATCTACAATGATGTCAGAAATCTTGTGTAATGCACCAAGATGGTCATCCTCAGATAAATAAATCTTCTTGGATGTAGGACTTTCCTCTCCACACGTATGCTATTACATGAAAAAATATTTAGGTTTGGACATCAGTAACATGTAAAGTTTAAAATTCATAAAAATGTATAGTAAGAGTCCATACTGGAGGGTCAGAAATAAAACCAACCTACTGCTTAGGCTAGGCGAGAAAATATTGAAATGCTTGTGCAAGGGTGAAAATCTCATCTGTTAGCACAAGAACTACCACATCTGGTATAACAATTTTGTCTACCATGACCTTGACCTCATCTTTTGATAGCTCCATACCATGAACTGTAGTGTCTTCCTTAAAACATTGTTCCACTAAGCCACTAGCATTGTCACGATACAATATAAAACATATAATTGACATGGATGAGTGTCGTCCATGCGTCCCCTATGACGCCCTAACTACCTTTATCTACCTGTTAAAGTCAATGTTAGCTTATACAAAAAATAAATTATTGAATAAAAATGATTATTAATTTTTCCTGTGGGAAGTACAACATCTTTCCTTACCTGGATGTGGACGCATCCCACACTCTCAAAATTGCTATCGAAATTGGTGCATAACCCTTTTACTCACTTTTGAAGTGATTTCATCATACAACTGCACCTTGATCTTCTTTACGATATGTCATCCTTTCTTCATACTCTTGATTGTGTGTATAAAGTGTGATGCGAGGAGCTCCCAAAATATTGCCTAATCCTATGCGGGATCCAACAACACGCACTAGTTTAAGGTGCTCAAGTCATTCAATATTGTAGTAGCAAGAATATTATGACGACTTTTTGGAGTGAATTGACCTTGGGAGCTCTACTCAACCAAGGAGTCCTGTACAATAACGAAACACCATTATTATTTAAAAGGTCTATGTAATCTATATAATGAAAATATTATTATTATTATAAAAAAGGTTGTATCTTATAATTTTTTGTGATATTTCTTGTGCAATTTCAGCGAAAACAATTATATGAAACTCTTATCAGTTCATCAATTGGTCGCCTTCAAATTCATGAGCCTTAACATTGCTAACAACCGTTTGAACTTACTTGAATCAAGATACAAAGGAGACTTCACATTACTAGACATCGTCTCATACACATGCGCTTGGGAAAAAACTTATGCCAGCATCGCGGATCATGTTTTCTAATTTGTCTTCTTCGATCCATCTTTCATGGTGGAATTAAATACATTTTCAGTTTGAGAGACAGTTGAAAAGTCTATTAATTCGCCATGTCATATCCATGTTGTATAACTTTGAAAGAAACCATCACAGATAAAATGTTTCCTAATTTCGGTTGTGTTCAACTTTCTCTCATTAACACAATTGACACAAGATAACTAAACTTTACTTTATCATTACTTCTACCTTCACTATGTTGTGTAAATTGTATAAATTCTTCTACCTCTCTCTCGTAGTTAACATTAATGTGTGGTGATTATTCCAAAGCAAATTAGGTGATGAGAAAGAAAAATGCTTATATTTGATTTTGTTTTAATTAAAGATGTTGTAACTAAAGAAAAAGTAAATTTTAATTGCATTAATTTTTAATTAAGTAATAGTATTACCGTTTACAACAAATTTTTTTAATTAAATTAATTTTTCATTAAGTTTATATTTTATTTGAAATGAATTTATTTATTCAATAAAATATAAAGATAATGCAATAAAGTAATTTAAAATAAAAAAACCATTTAAACTGTGAAATTGAAGGCTCTCATTATTAACACAGTCATCAAGGTGCAATAAAAGCAAAACAGAGAATTCATTTACATCGTGTATACCGTTACGAGACGAGTTGACCTCTCGGAATAATGAGAATTAATATTTCTACACACGCCAGTTAGTATTGACAATTTCAATACTTAATCAATGAAGTAAAAATTTATTAAGAAATAAATGCAATAAATTTTTCATGCATTTATTACCGTTTAAAGTTTCAAAGTAAATCTCAACATCACAATATTTTTCATGCATATATATGAAGTGTCCACTTACATGATGATCTTGCTGAGTTTATATAAATATTGGAAAAATACAAGAAAAATAAAATAAAAGTTGTAATAATGGATTCAAAGTTTTTCTTATTTAAAACAAAGTCACTTAATTTTACTCAATTTTTAATTAGTTTTTCTATATAGTTATTTTTGAATTGAATTTAACATACGAAAGCAGAACTATGTTACTGTTTTTTGAAAAAAAAAAGTTAAGTATTGATTACTTTTGTATATATATCTATTTTTGTTCTCATAGCTAATTTAAAAAATTAGACTATATTAATACACAATGTAGATATTTTTTTATTAAAACGGAAATGGATTCGAATAATACTCATACAACGAGTTTATTTGTCACATATCACATCACATACCTCTTCTCAAAATAACAGGATCAGCCATAAATTATGGCCATAACCTAAAAATGCATGAACCTTCGGATACTGTGATAAGTTATAAGTTTGGATTGTGTTTCAAACTTAATTTTATTTGGTTTTTTATTATTATTAATTTAAAACTTGTTAGAACTTGATCCATTAGTTAGTGTACCTGTGTACTTGTGCAAAACATTAATATTATGTAAGTTACCATTAGAAGTTAAATTTAGAATAAATTTATATAGATACTTTTTATGAATAAAGTAAAAAGATAAAATTACCATGAATTTAGTGGATATTTTTTAACTATTTTGTATGAATCTAGAAAACATAAAAAGTTGCACAGTTATATAAACTTAATTATCTTACATTATTACCATCTGTAATTAAAGATGAATATTTAAAGCATTAATCTCAATTTAGTTTAAAATTAAATTGTAAAATTTAATTTTATAAGTTTTGTAAAGTTATTGCCAGTTTCATTTCATTTAAAAAAATGAAATATAATTATATAATCAAAATAATTATTACTTTTAAATTTGGTGTAAAATATTGAACCTATATGTATTATTTTACAAACAATTAATTTATTCTTTTACATCCAACTCTTTTTTATTTTCAAATTTATCTATTAATTATGATAATAATAATAATAACAATAAAAATTATTTTCAATCTAAAATTTTTCATTTTTGCAGTAATGGTAAAGATAATAATTATATAATTCTAAAATATTATATTTTTATAAAATAATATATATAATAAATATTATATAATTATACTAAAATTTAATAAATAAATAAATGAGGTACATTTATCAGTCAAATATTTTTTAAATACTCTTCATTTTATAATTGATGTTATATGATTTTTTTTGTCTTTATTTAAATTATTTAATCTTAAAATAGTTGTTTTATTTATTTCATAACTTCCAATTTTAATTTAATTTAATTGTTTTATTTATTTCAGTTAAAATGTAATTTGCATTTCTGTGTTTGATACTCCGGTTGTTGGTTATTTTATCATTTTGTTTAAAAAGTTTACTTTTAAGACATTTAAGAAAGTAAAAGTATGAAAATAAAATTATTTCTATATTTAAGATAAGATCCTGTAATAAGTTATAAGTTTGGATTGTGTTTCAATCTTAATTTTAGTATGTTTTTCATTATTATAAATTTAAAACTTGTTAAACTTTATGGGTTAGTTATTGTAGCAAAAAATTAATACTGGTTAGTTAAATTATCATTGAAAAAACAAAAAGCTGTATACAACCTTTCTATATCTTTAAATTATGAGAATCACCACATCAAATACATTGAATAACTAAAAAAATCCTACTATCTTCTACTCAGTAACCATATATAAATAATTGTTTGTAATAGTAAAAATACAAAAATGGAAGAGAAAGAAAATATAGTTGCAGGTCTCGTGAGGGAGCAGATGACAGATGCTGCTATTGGTTCTTTTTATGAACCAGAAACAATTGGCTATTCCAACCAACCTATATTTACAGTCTTAAAAAGATGGGTATAAAGATTTGAGGTTATGATCAAATAGACTATGATAGTTAAGGATTTGAGGTTAGGGCATCTGAGGTAACCTTGTATAGTGTTTTAAGACAGCATATGAAAATCTCAAAACTTTATGATTTCACCGTAACACTGAACTTTAAATATAGGAAGATTATGTAAAAGGGTGAAAGAATACATAGTTGTCAGCTTCAAAAACATTGAGTTAGGTGGAAGAAGCTAAAAAGAAGGTTTTTCCACCATGGTGTGTATGTGCATGGGTGATTTCATAAGTCTAAACAAAATGATATAATGGAGGAGAGGTTTAGAAGAAAAAATATATAAACTTAACAACAGTATTGATTATACTAAACTTGTTATGATGAAGTAAAATGTTAAATTTATCTATCTTCTAAACTTAAAAAATGTTGGCCTACATGTCTAAGCTTATTGAGACATACTTATGTTTATATACATGCATATAATGAATTTTATTTTCTTATTTCTTTTCCTAAATTAGTTTTTCCATTTATTGTTGGTTTACATTCCTTTTTGCCATGCACACATTATTTTGATATTTTCGGTAATTCTTACTTTGTGTCATCTAAAATATATAAGAACATATTCATTATTAATGAGCTCTCTTAATAGAAAAGAATTTAAAATATGTACTTTTTATCATTTTGGAGATATTAAGAGTTTGAAAAAAAATAATGGTGAAAATCTTATCTCTCTATTATAAAATCTTGTAAATTATATACCTTGTAAAATCTTTATCAACCATTAAAGATCCTTGATAAATAAGTAAAGGATTACCTAAAAAATAGTATTTTGATGCTAACAAAGAAACAAAAACTGAATGAAAAATAAAGATGGAAAACAAGACTTCGTTTCTTCACATTCACTATCTGAGAAAACCAAATCCACATGCAAGAAAGTTACACTCACATATTATACTCTGTTCAAATTTCAATTTAAAAACTTCATCAAGTCCATAAGAAAACAAAGGGAAATTGTGTGAAATTTTATGATGCCATAAAATAGATTTTCTTTAAACAAAGGGTGTGAATTTTCTTTAAAAACTTCAGTAAGCCTTTCTTTACACACCAATTGTTCTAACATAGAATTAAGAAGAAAAAATAACACGACTTTAAAGATAAATATATAAAATTTTTCTCATTTACCTTCTTTCAAATTTATTTTTCAAGTTATACACTAAACTAAATTTAATTTTATTCCCTTGAAGTCAAGGGTAAATTAGAGTTTATGCGTAGGTAAAAAATATGCATATATATCACTTTAAAGTTCATTTTTTTAATGTAGTATATAATATAATTTTTTATTCATAATTTATATCTCTCAAATCTCTTAAAGTCTCTTTTTAGGGGAAAAAAATACAACACTTCTGTTTTCTTCCTATTAGATATGCTACTGGAAAAGTTTGTTATATATACCTCTATTAAAAGAGTAAAATAATGCCTTTATGTTAGACTAAAAAAAACTCAGAAAATACAAGTTCTGCCATTAAAATAAAATAGCATCTTAGAATCTCAACTATACTATGTTCTTTGTACTATTTAAAAGGAAAAAGGTGTATAACAACTAAAACAACTAATTAATAATTATACTTAAACTTAATTAGTAGTTTTCCTATCATGTGTGATTGATTTTTACATCATACTAAAATGAAATTTAAACTTAATTAATTTTATAAAACTGAATTGTAATCTAATGTTATTTTAAGACAAGATTTCCACCTGCTTCAATAACATAATATAGATTAGTATTTATTTCTACTCATATAAAATTTCTAATATTATCATTGTGGAACACAACTAACTATCATTTAAACGAAAGACACAAGTAGTTGACATGAATAAGATTTGAAATCAAACATTTAAGGAAATTTAGGTCTACAGAAGTCTTACAACAATTATTCCAAGTCTTGAACAAGAAAATAGAAATACAAGAGAAATACAACAGACAGCAGCATTATTCTAAATCCTGCAACTAAATTAAACGCTGCGAAAATAACATAGTTTTAAAGAGAGAGACTGGTAGCCGTGGATAATGATGAGGATTTCATAAAATCCAATTTCTATTTGAATACAATGGCACACTGATCTCCGTGAGTCAGGAAGGAGAGAATTCTCTCTCGTTGGTTTTGCTTCCAAATATGACTATATGGAGTCGAATAATTTTTTTTCAGAGAAACAATCACTAAAGATTGTCCATTGTTCATGAAAAATTCCACCAGCTTGTATTCCATTTCTAGGCCTCTGAAGTCACAAATTTCTAATTTCTTCAGATTTTGAACCATGCTAACAGGGAAAACAGATTGAAAATCAACCTCGCCAAAGTAGTTGTCGAACACCTGCTTGTATCAGTGTGTATAAGTAATTGAAAAATGCATAGCAATTAAACTTAAATACCAAACACAACATTCCTTTACCTTTTTAAAGGAAAGCACTTGAAGGTTAGGACACTTTTCAAACAAGTTGAATAACACATGTGCAATCCAGTATCGGGTAAAATCATCTTTACAATAACGAGGGATAAGCCTTATCTTGTACAGGTTTCTGAAAGTGGGCATCACCGGTTTAGAAACATATAGAGCCTTCAAACAAATAAACAAGAATTAGATTATAATAACAAAGTTTCAATTTTCTAACACAAGACACACTAAACAAACAAAAATAAATTAAAACCTTCATGATGGGTTCTGATATGTTGAGTGATCTCAGGTTTTGAAACTCTCCAAAAAAGGCACACGTTTTTGCAGAACGTGAATAAAAGTCATTCCAATCTGAGAAGTGAAACATACAATCAGTGGCTATAGTTGCTTGTTCCATCGAAGGAACACTTTGAATCATGTTCAGTTCAAGCGCTTGACCCTCAATGGAGAAGAACTTCAGATTTGGTGCATCCACATTCACTTTGTGACCTCCCCTAAGAGATAAAAACAACCTCAAAAGGTTTTCAGCCTTCACAGTGATACTCATATTTGTTTCTTCTATCACATGCCAATCAAGCATTACAAATTTCAAGGAGGAACTTGACATGTGAAGATTTTTTACTTCAGTAGTCTCATCCTTCATTATAAACATCACATTTTCTAGCCTAGGGCACCCGTCCAGAAACCTTTGAATTGAATTCTCATCCACCAATCTAAAAGGAATTAAGTGAGCATACCTTAGCTTGGGCAACCAAACATTTTCTGGAAGAACCCACCCCCTAGGAAGAATTAGACGCAAACCAGTTAGAGTCTCTGATATAAACATTTCAGATGGAAGAACAATTGAAGGTGGCTCATTTCTTTCAAAACACATATCAAAACTGTAATCAATAGTCTCCACTTTGCAAGTGGACATTGCAAAAGCTGTGGACATCAACAACGATTCATAACCCAGTTTCATCCTTTCAGTGAAATTCTTCACAGTTACCCTTATAACTTTAATGGGTATTTCTGGATTTCTCTCTCGAAGCATTCTATTAACAAAGCCTACAAAGATGTCAAAGAGCCTATGATGCTCAGAAAAAGAAACCCCTTGTTCATTGAAAGTTACCACAATACGGCCAAATTGTAAGAAAAGATCTCTCCAGGTTGTGGATAAAATTGAAGTGGCTGCAGCTTCTTTGAGTTCCAAAAATGAAATAATGTAGAGAAGAATAGATTCTGGAAGTGCACTCAGTCTATCAATGTTGTCGGTTTCTCCATCTAAGTTTTCATCTAGGGTTCGTCTAAGGATCTTTCCTGAAGGTTCTACCATTTCAAAGAGAATGATTTTCAACTTTGGATGAGAGAGAATGAAAGAATTGAAAAGTGGACACACTCTTTTCTTCTCAAACCCTAGGCATCATTCTCTAACTTTATAGACAAAGTTTCGATTAGGGTTTGACCAAAACACCGTTTAAAAATACAAATTAAATTCTAATATGGTTATATTCTTTAAATTGATAAACTGACATCAAATAGCTTTTTTTTTTATAATTACAGTTTCTGTTTATGATTTTGTTTGGAAAGTTCACTTTATTTAACAAAGTAAAAGTATGAAAATAAAATTATTTATATATTTAAGATAAGATCCTATAATAAGTTATAAGTTTAGATTGTGCTGAAATCTTAATTTTAGTTGCTTTTTAATTATTATTAATTTGAAACTTGTTTAACTTCATTGTTTAGTTATTGTATTTATGCAAAACATTAATGTTGGATAAATTACCTTTAAAAGTAGTGTATCATTGAAAACAGCTCAACTATAGAACCATCTTTTATTTTTAAATTAGGTGGAAGGACCAAAGAAACTAAATGGAATACATCAAATACATTGAAAGACTAAAAATCCTACTGTCCTCTTCTACCGATTAACACTGCCAACAACATAAATAATTGCTTGTAACAGTACAAAAGAAACAACGTATAAGAGAAAGGAGAGGGGAGAAAAGCAGAATCGTTGCAGGTCTCGTGAGGGAGCAGATGCTACTATTGGCTCTTTTTAAACAATTGGCTACTCCAACCAACCTATATTTAAAAGTCCTAAACAGATGTGTATAAAGATTTACATGCATACAACCCTCTCAATTCTACTTCATTCTCGTTAAACAAACCTTTAATCTCTTTTGAACCCTCTTCTAACGGTCACTAATATGAATTAGGTGTGCACAAATTCTATTGTTATATAATTGGTTAAGTTATGTGAATGAAACTGTGTTTTCACTCCATAGTTTATAATATTCACATTCCTATACTCTTATTTTGTAGACATGTATAAGTATGCTAACAATCAATACTTGGTTATAACATATATACTATTGTTCTGCACAATAGAGAATTTTCTAAAAAATATTTTATCATCTTCAATAAGTTTTGAAATTTTTAATTTCTATTAGCTCAGCGCCTTCAAATAAGAACTCAACATAATTACCTAAAATTAATATCAGCCCAACTTAACTCCTATAAACACTTCAATAAGGAGAACTTTTGAACAAATTTTAGTTCTTAGGAGTAACAATAGTTAGATAATAGCTTCCATTAAGACTTGATAGAAAAGCTTGAAAGACAAGTGAAATTAAACAATACTAACAAGAAAGTACAGCTTTATACTGTTTTTCTGACAAACTCAGGTATTTTGCATGCCATGTAAAAACTTATAAACATGGTGAGTCCGTGAATTCAAGTTATTCTCACTGGAAAACAGAAACTGAAATTCAGCTGTTATCATCACGTGATCAAAAGAGGATAGGGTGTGCCACTTATATGCATTTCATCCACATGACAGTTAATAATTAAGGATTTGAGGTTAAGACATATAAGGTAACCTTGTATTGTGTTTCAAGACACAGCATATGAAAATCTTAAAACTTGACTTTACAATAACACTAAACTTTAAATATAGGAGGATTGTGTAAAAGGGAGAAATAGTATATAGCTGTCAGGTTCAAAAACATTGAGTTAGGTCGAAGAAGCTAAAAAGAAGGTTTTTCCACCATGGTGTGTATGTGCATGGGTGATTTCATAAGTCTAAACATTGAGTTTGGTTCAATTTCTTTTTGCCACTTTATACACTTAAATAACACGTTATTTTGATATTTTGAGTAATTCTTACTTGGTGCCACCATATAAGAACATATTATAAAATGAGCTCTTTTAATAGAAAAGAATTTAAAATATGTACTTTTTTTTTTATCATTTTGGAGATATTAAGAGTTTGGAAATTTTTTTGGAGAATTGCTCTTATCGACCATTAAAGATCCTTGATGAATAAGTAAAGGATTGCTTCAAAATTAGCATTTTCATGTATTCTCCAATCCCACATAAATAAAAAAAATGAAACAATGAAAGATGAAGGAAATCATGATTAGTTTCTTCACATTCACTATATGAGAAAACCAAATCCAAATGAAAGAAAGTTACACTCATATAATATACTCTATGAAATTGTTCAAATTTCAAGTTAAAACTTCGTGAAGTCTATTAGTAAGCAAAGGTAAATTGTGTGAATTTTATGTGGACATCAACAATTGTTCATAATCCAATTTTATCCTTTCAGTGAAATTCTTCAGTTACCCTGATAACTGTAATAGGTACTTCTGAGTTTCCCTCTCAAAGAATTCTATTAACAAGGTGAAAGAGCCTAGGATGGAAAGTTAACTAAATATCACAAAGTTGTAAAAAAAGTCTGTCCAGGTTACTGGGAAAACTGAGGTTTTGGCCATTTCAAAGAATGAAAAAATATAAAGAAGAATAGATTCTGAAAGTACAGAGTGTATCAATGTTGTCAGTTTCTCCATCTAGAATTTCAGCTGGGGTTCGTCTAAGAATCTTTGATGAAGTTTTGGCCATTTCAAAGAGAATGGGTTTTCAACTGAGATGAAAGAAATGAAATAATTGAAAAATCGGTATATTTGTTTCTTCTCAAATCCTAGAAAGTCACTTTCTAACTTTATAGACAAGGTCTCGAATTAGGATTTGAACAAAACGTAGTTGAAAAGTAGAAATTAAATTCTAATATATATTTAATTTATAGAAAAAGACCTTAGTGATATTTTATAAATTATTAAATAATTTATTTTATAATTGCAGTTTATGATTTTGTTTAGAAAATTCATTTTTAAGATATTTGACAAACTAAAAGTAAGGAAATAATATTATAAATGAGATCTTGTAATAAGTTACAAGTGAGGAATATTGTGTTTCAAGCTTAATTTAGTTTTTTTCATTATGATTAATTTAAAATTTGTTAAACTTTAACGATTAGTTATGTAATTGTGCAAAACATTAATGCTATGTAAGTGTATACTATATTTGACCAATGTTACATATCGATTGTAGTCTATTTTTATATGAAGGATTACAAGTTTCATGTTGAGAGTAAAGTGATGCAGATAAGGAAAGAAGTGACATTATTGTTATGCATGGAGTTAGGAAGGAAGGGTAGTTTGTAGTCACATCTAAGGTTGCAATTGTCATATTGTTTGACACTTCATATTGTGTGGCATATCGGAAGTGGCACTTTGGATATCTTGTAAAAAAAAAGGTTTATTAAAAGTTTTTTTTTTTTTTTGTGAATATTGTATTTAGAAAGTAGAACAAACAAAGCTTTATGTTGCACAAGATGGAGCCATGTTGGGCAACATCTATGTTGATTGTTTGAGGCTTTAAAAGTATGAGGGAGGTGCCAAGTACTTTCTCTTTATAATCAATGATAATTCAAGCTCTCAATCTCATTTAATGTATGTTAAAATTCATCTAATTGAACAAGGTCGTCTACTCTTTATGAGTCATGTGGTGAAAAGTCCAACACTCATTATTTGGATTAATTAAGAGCTAAATGCAATAAAGCATAAAACATAGGATTAAAGTTGGTATAAAAATAATGAACAATGTTTCTTCCAATTTTAAACTAACTCTAACCTTAATTTTTTTTAACCAAGTTCAACCCTACTTAAACGAATTCTAACCCTATTTTTTTTTACATATAACAAAAATCAAACATAAATTTAATAATTATATTTTAACAATATAGTTATAGTTGGTTTAAAAATAATTATAAAAATATTTAATAAATTGTGGCGTGGTGGCAACTTTGTAATAAATTACAAAAATTTTAATATCGATTAAACTCAAAATTGATATAAAAATTGACGCGATGATAGTTTTGTAATAAATTATAAAGAATTTTTATATCGCTTGATTTAGAATCAGTATAGAAAGTAGTGCGATGAGAATTTTGTAATAAATTACAAAAACTTTCTAGGGTTACCGAGTCTGCTCACTTTATTATCCCTCGAAAACCTAATCTCACAAACTCTTCAATAAAGTCATATCTACATTAAAAAATGGAAGTGCATATGTCGTCACCTACTTACTCCATGTCAGCGCAAACACAAACTCCTTTCATTTGTCAATAACAAACCTCCGTCACACCCGAAATTTGATCCTAAGTAACATTTCCAGTAGTTGCATCAACTTTTGTAGTGTACCAACGAGGAGGTCGAAGAGCGAAAACACGAATAGGAGAAGAAATGAACACGTTGCGATAGGCTACACCACAATAACTACTAAAAACCTAATGTATCTTTGTGTATTTGTTTAACTGATTTTATCTTCCATGTTATGGATTTTATTAATGATTGATTTTGTGTGTGTGATTTTGAAGGTGGCAAGTGTGAAAGTGCTTTTATTTGTTACTTCCATTTCATTAATGTGTATGAGGAGGGTGGCAATCATTATTGTCGACTATTGTCAGCATAATTCTAAATTTTGTTTATTTTTTGTGTTGAACATTTTTTATACCAATTGTGATTTTAATCAATATAAAAAGTGATATTTTCTATACGGAATTATATAGAAAAGAGAAAGTTTTTATATCGCCTATATCTATGACAATACCATTATGGAAAGCCTTTTTTAATTTATATAAAACATCTTTCTTACACTAATGACATTGATATTACTCTGAGCCTTGGTGATAAGGTGTTAAAAGAAGTTTCAAAGAAAAAAATTATAACAAAATTTCAAAATGGATGTTTAAAATAAACAAGAGTATCAATTGCCATTTTGATACTATGTATATAATAATAATAATGTAGTTTTAAAGAGGTAAATAAAGTTTATTGAAAAATAAATTCAATGAAAAAATATTTAAAAATTGACATTATTGTCATTATGACATTTTTAATTGTCACTGATATAATTAGTTTTTAAATAAATTACGTCATTATGAATTGTTGAAATCTTAATATTTAAATATTTATTAATTTTTATCTGCATTTATACTTTCGTAATTCAATAAAATTTATTTTTTATGATAATTTAAAATATATAAA